AACAGGTTTGCAGGCCGTCAGAAATTGGCTTCGGTTACGGTAGCTATGATCGTATGAACGTCAAGTCAGGCAACACAGAGAAGGTCCCATGCAAGTTTGTTAATTGCGCGCGTCACTTACAGATGAGCAAGAGGGATGGATCTACAGAAGGAAATACTATTTACTCCCAACATAATAGTTCTTCATAAAGAACTTCTTTACAAGCATTAAAGTTATCAACTGCACTCTAAATTCCTGGAGAGACAATCAAATAAATAGCGGGATAAACGATAGTTATGGAAATCCTCAAATCAAATATGTTGCTCACAGAGGGGCTCCTTGTAAGAGATAGTTCATAAGCTATCTTCTGTTTGAGCAATACATAAGCTAAATTAGAGCAAACTCCGTTTTAGGCTGTTTGCTTTGAACATTTTAAAGCTCTATTTGATCTTTAGATTGTTTCTTCCTCGAATTTAATCGTAGCGATAAAGAAAAAGGAAGAAAGCGGCCTTTGGCAGCTTTGCTACCGTTGACCTTGAGTNATCTACTGCCCTGTGTGAAAGGGGCCTAAGGCACCATTTGTCTATAGAGAACATATCTTGATACGGGGTGGTAATACATGAGAGTTATATTAGTTGTATGAGGCTAAGACGTCGACCGTTAGGTCGGAGTAACTTTAATGCGAGTTACATTGCGGTGTACTTGTCATGTTACTGAGGGCCTTACTACTGGGGGCCTTACTAAGGCGCCCAGACTTTTTATAGAAACACGGCTTCCGCCCATTACGGAGGCCTTGATCGCGTGATGTTGTCCATGCTGACTAAAGATCTTGTACTTTTCCATCAATCTCTACCACGTATACTGAATATTATGTCTCAATTACAGATGATCTAATAATAGAATATAATTTATAATGAATGGAATGAGACGCCTGATTGACACCGGACATCTAAAAAAACTCATTGCATACGAAAATTTGAATTTAAAAAATAAATCATCGTATGATTAAAATGACGAATCAGAATTAGATCTTGCACTCTTAAGATTGAAAACTAATAAAACCTGGCTGTCTACTTATCTTATCAGTGCCTGATAAGTGAACGTTTTCAGGAATTCGTCGCATCAGTAGCGATAAGTCCGTGCTAACTGCAAGTGCCTCATACTCTTGTTCCATAAACGTGCATCATGGATCCACCAACTGAAAACGATGAATTTCAGTTACCTCTGTACGACCAGGTAAACAAAGTAATAATGAACTAAAACGCTAACACCTCTAATAAGTATTTGAAATAGTAATTCTGAAGGTATAATTTGGCGTGCTTGAGACAGACATGTTATCAATCGTTCCGCAATTATCATGCCCTCTGAAGTTCGGTACAATTAGAAATGCAAAAGAGCAATGAAAACGTTGAAACTTTTATTAAAACCGGAAAGGAGCAGCACTCGAGGTAGCCTATAAGAACTATACACACACATATACATATAAGAGCTATTCACACTGCAGGAACAATCGCTTACATCAGTATAGGTATAAAAATTAGTAATTAATTATCAAAATAATTGAATTCAAAGTAATGAGTCACTTTTATAAAAGGTAGATGAGTCTTTCGATCCTCACCGCAATAATATGGTTACCGTGCCATCATTCAGGAGTGGTATTGTAAGTATAGAGAACATGCAGCACGGGTATAACATCCAAGGTGTGAAGTTCAAGTGCGAAGATTCTTATCTGTCATTGACGAATAAAAAGATAAGAAATGCTATCTAGCAATTTGTTTCGTCCAGAACGCAAAATCTTTCAATATTACAGCAAAATCCGAGCAATGAATAAAAATTAATTAATGTTTACAACTTATTTGCTTCCTTAGAAGGAAACCTTAGAAAACAGTTCTCATGGAGAAATATTACGATGAATTAAAGAAGAATTGATGAAGGTGTGTGCACTTGTGGTAAAGTTAAAGGCATACAAGCAAGCGTGTTAATGCCAAGCAGTTAACGAACAAATGCTACACGGAGCCAAAAGCCCATGCAACGGGGTTCAACACATCGCTTGTACAACTAGTACAGTAATATTTAAAGAGCGGACACCAGGTTGCAAACAAGCAATTTAAAGAACTTAACAAAATGTGAAAACATTTTCACACACTCTGAATCTGTAGCTGGAAAGGAAAATTTAGCGCAAATCCCAAATGGAGTAGATGTGCAAAGCCGTAAGGTTGATTCTGAAATAATCCAATTATGCTGAAGATCCACGATCTCGCCTCGTATGATGAAACTATCGACAAGCGTATGTCTAATAATGACGTAAACAAACAATAAATGTTAAGGATATTTTAAATTTGTAAACGTACCGAATAACGCTTTTTATAATGAAAACCCGATAAAATTTATTGTCGTTCTCCAGTGTTGTAGGATCGAATTATGCATGTTGCCCGTGTGTAAAATATTCGTGTCATACTTTCGCATGACTGGAATAACAAACGGGAACATCAACTTTGCATGTGTTTTATAAATATCTTTCCAGATATCGATTTATTTCACGTAGCTTTTTCAAAGGGAGTAGCTTCTACAATTTCTATTAGCATATTATTGGTCAATAGAGAGAATGATTCTGAGATCATTTTGTGTGAGTTGGAAAGCATTTTTGCTGCTGATTTCAAACTGGCTCTTTTTTTCTCTAGTGCGCCTAGTTTTTCATATATTCGCGTTCTTGGGAAAGATATATTTGATAACAATAAATGTATATGTAATTTATATCGATTTATTATTGTTTGACCATTTACAGCCGGATTCCGCCGACCAGCACCCATCAACAATGGATAAGAATGTTGACCAACTACAGATAGATTTCACCGACCCGCAACCGTCAACAAAGAATAAGAACGGCGAGCGTAAAGTGACGGGAGGAAGAAAACCAGTGCCGCATTTTGCAGCGCAGTGCAGGAAAAAGGGCAATTTTCTGCATTGCTTTGAAATAGTCTGCATCATCATCCTGACAACCTGTGTAGTGCTACTCTACCTCGACAGTGTTAGTACTTGTCTCCCACAACCACGATGCATTTCCCTGTCGCTCATGTTGAATCTTTTACGTGTTTATAAAATCGTTGTATTTCGTTGTATTTCTGGTCGGAATAAAAAAAGCCGGGTTTTGAAACTGTAGAAAGATTTTTAATTTGTGTGATCACTTACCCATATTTCTATGCCCATTCAACCAATAAATTGGATCAATTTCAGAAACGCCGCACACACGAAATGGCTAACAATGACTTAAAGTAAACTAATTTATTGCTGTAACTTGCAGAAGAAGCTGATGAGCCCAGCCGAAGAAAGCGCTGAAATTGTAAGTATTATTTTGCAGTTGTGACTTGTCATTTTTTACGATCGCTAATTTTAAAGATTTAAACCGTGACTATATATTGTAAGTATTCAACTTATTCCTTGATTCGTTGATTAAGATTGCTATGGTATATGGTTGTATGGTATATGGTTGAATGGCATATGGTTCTGATCATCGAAGGCCGAATTGTTGGAGCACTTTATTTAATTGTGGACTCTGCGTATATTACCATATTCTTGCGTACTCGGGCTCTGCCCCCTGGCGTACTCGGGCTCTGCTCCCTGGCGTACTCGGGCTCTGCTCCCTGGCGTACTCGGGCTCTGCCCCCCTGGCGTACTCGGGTTCGGCCCCCGGCGTACTCGGGCTTTGCCCCCTGGCGTACAGAACCCGAGTACGCCATAATTTAATTGAACGATATAACTTCGATTTGATTGCAATATCTTTATTTATGAATGTATAAGCCTCCGTGAGAGATACCGCCCTCTGACCACATGTAAATTAATATATGCCAAAAATAAGGTCTTTTAGATGAAAAATGTTTGCTTTAATCTGTCCCACTGTCGGTCCAGCTTTTATTTTCTTCAATCAGAATTGCTTATTATTTACAAAAAATTTATAGATTCTCAAAAACATTAAGTCTTGAGATGATATATATATTAAATATAAAGTATAATAAATAAATATATACAGAGTTTGATTGTATAGATAAATAATAAGTATTATGAAAAATAAAGGTAATATTCAGTAAAAGAAGACGAAATCGAAATGAATAAAGCTATTCATATAATAAAAGAGCTTAATCCCCCTAGCTAATATCCCAATCTGCTTCCCGCCACTTTTTACTCCCTATCCTAACTCTCCTCTTCATCCCTCTTCCACTACCACCCTTCCCTTTCTCACCAACCTCACAGTCACCTTCCATCTCTATTTCATAGTTCCATTCCCTATTTTTTCATTGTCTCCTCGTAATAGCCGTTTCTCCTCAGTCCTTTTCCCTCTCTTTCTCTTCACCTCGGCCCCTTTCACTATCCATTTCCTCACCTCAGTTACCTTCCCTCTCCTTTTCCTTCCCTCTATCCTGCCCTCTTCCCCAATTCCCCTCATCCCGTACGCACTCTCACACCTTTCATCCACCTCACCCTCTTCTTCTCCACTCCCTCCTCTACATCCTCCCCCACGCCATCTACCTCTCATCCCTCTTCCCCTCTCTTCCCCCTCTCCATCCCACTCAATTTCACGGGACAATCTTAATGAAAATCTTGTGTGGCTGCGCCTGTTTTTTCTCCATTGTGAAATTAAGCGGCAGTTTTTAAGGAGAATCGCACAGTCGATCTCCGTATCTCCGGCCATCGCATGCGTGGCGACTAATGAGGGGCGTGCTGCGTGCTGTGTGATGTGTGCTGCGTGCAGCGTGATGTGTGATGTGTGATGTGTGCTACGTAGTGCGTGCTGTGTGATGTGTGCTGCGTGGTGCGTGCTGTGTGCTGTGTGATGTGTGCTGCGTGCTGTGTGATGTGTGCTGCGTGCTGTGTGATGTGTGCTGCGTGCTGTGTGATGTGTGCTGCGTGCAGCGTGATGTGTGATGTGTGATGTGTGCTACGTAGTGCGTGCTGTGTGATGTGTGCTGCGTGCAGCGTGATGTGTGATGTGTTATGTGTGCTGCGTGCAGCGCATTGCCAGTTGATGCATGGTGCGTGCTGCGTGGCTCATTCTTTGCTGCATATGTTGCGTGCTGCGTGATGTGTACTGCGTGATGTATGAAGCATGCTGCGTGCTGCATGTTGCGTGCTGTGTGATGTGTGCTGCGTGGTGCGTGCTGTGTGATGTGTGCTGCATTACGCATGCTGCGTGGTGCAAATTTACGGCGCAAGTAGTAAATTTGCCAAGTAGTAGTTTTGGCTCCGTGTAGAGTTAGTTATACGACCGCGTGGTTACGACATACGTAAATTATAAGACTTAAAGAGTTACAAGCGCAACTTGAAAGTTCACCTCCTTTTTGTTTAATTTCTTTTATCCATTATGCTGCATTTTTATCTTGATTTTTCAATTTTTCTATTTATCAGCTTGTAATTAGCTACTGCAACATGCCTACAGGCACCGCAGTGATAAGCGTTATTGCTGCAACCAATCCCCGCAATCCCCGCCTGAAGACAACCCCTACTCCCCAATCTCAGTGGTCCCAACAGCCTCGCCCTCCCCAGCAATGCCACCGCACATCCCAAACTTGAGGATCTCATTGCCTTCAGAAGCAAATTTCAAGGCATCCGAGAACGCCTAAGAGAATGAGAACTCGAGGGGGCGCCTTGTGGGGCAGCCATGCATGCAAATCATGAGCCTTCTTGCCCTGCCTTGCAGCCTGACCCACCTTAGGCCCTGCAATGACCCAGAAAAGACCCAGCAGATACTCAGAAAAGACCCAGCAAAGACCATTAAAAGACCCACCACAGACGTCCCAGGAAGGGTCCAACAACGATCCAACATAAACCAAACAAAGACCCAGCATTGACCATATAAAGACCAAGCAAAGTCCCGACAATGACCCAGCATTGGCCCTACATAGACCAAGCAAAGTCCCGACGAAGACCCAGCAAAAGCCGCGCTTCAAGAGATGCTCTGAAACGCGATGTCGACGACTTATTTCGCAGTCGATTAACTCGCTGTTGGCGGAGCTGCTTTGTGGGAGCGGGGCACTCGTTCTACCTTCTGGGGCTGTCGGCGGCTGCGGCCAAGCGGATCAGAAGCCTTTTACACAATTGAAAACCAAGGCTGTTTTATCGCCGACTTATCGTCGGCCATACTACGGATGGAAGATTCCAACCACACATGATACTCGGGTTTACGTCGACCATCGGACGGAATCCCTGTTTCGAGACCAAAGATTCACACATGCAAATCACCGACGGCCGCGCTCGCTGGCCCGCCCGTAAGCGATGCAGTCACCCCCAACCGGCCCCGCATTTGCGTGGGCTGCCCGTGACATTTTATTAATGATCAAGGATCCTCGAGTTTCTTGTTTCACGCTTGTTACCGGCAGGAATTAGGCTTGTCAGATCAAGAAACTGGTGGTGGCTTTAACCAGATGCCTGTGCATATGGGGCGCTGCATGCCGAAGCTCTGGGAATATGTTGGGGATGTGGGGTTAAAAAATCCCGCGGGTATGGGAAAATGTACCACAGAAGGTATGTTGTGAGGGATTTTTCGCAACATTTATCACCACATGTCTACATTACTCACCATACTCACCGCTTTCACATTCCAGCACCACTCACAACACTCACCACACGCGCATGCCTGCACCACTCACCACACTCACCACACCCTCTTTAATTGATAGCTCGACCTTTTCCGTCCCAGTTAAAATTGTGAGATGATACCGGCGCAGGGCTAAGCCAAGCCTGCCGCGCTTTAGCCGGACGCAGCCGTGAAATAATAACTGACCTGTTAGTTATCTCTAAAGTTAGTTATCTCTATCACCATGGCTAATATTGAGAATAACTTTAGCAGCCTGGGAGGGACGGAATACGGCGCTGTTATGGCGCTGCACATGGCATGGGCGGCAGGGCGCCGAACCAAGCAGTTGTTCAGGCCGTACATCTCATGAAGGTAGGGGTTGAGAGGAGAGCGGTATAAGAGTGTGAGGCAGAGGAGAGATCTCCGTTCTTAATTATCTAGTTGAAGTGGTATAATACGGAATTTCTGGTTCATATCAGGCTCCAGTCATGATTATTATACCACGTTATTATTTAATACTTTGAAATACGTGTTTTATTTGCTTTCCCAGTTCGAACACTTCCGCAAGGAGAAACGTTTAAGCATAACTATGCTTTAATAATATTCAGGAGATAGTGACCAGTTTGTCCTGAATTTTTCTTTCTAATGCGAATGAACATAAAACGTTGTTGATTTTACTTTCATTTGATTAAATGCTATAAATCTCTTTCCATCGAAGAGAAATTGTAAGAAGAAACTGCTGCAAAACTTAGTAATATATTTTTTTAAATTATCCCATCGTAAACTTCTTTGGAGTTGATATTCAAAACGTTTTCAAACAGCTGCGTTAGCGTGCTCCATTATTCATGCTAAATTTGCCTCAATATTTCAATGAGACTGATTTAGTCAATGAAAATAATGTGAAATAAATTGTGATATAAATTGAGCTCTTTTATAAAATTTGTATAAACTATAAACTGACTTGTCATCTCTAAACAGTTCCACCACAAATGTGACTATTCCTCGATTTACTGGACGATAGTTTTGTAGTTATGTATGTAGTTGAAAGAGCTCTATGTGTTGAGGTGTCTTTGTGGTCTAGCTGGCTAAGGCGTTAACTTCAGAGACCAGAAAGCAGCGATTGAATATCGGAGCTGCTGTCGACGTTTATCCGGCGAGAGCACTTGCTAGTAAAATGACTTGACGCTCGGATACATCCTTTATAATTTCATTTGTTTGGTTTGTAATTGATACCGCAAGTGTAAATACGATGAGAATGTTCGGCAACATAGACTATCTAATCTAACTTGCCGTTGTTAAGAGTGACGTGTCGGTGATTTCGGCGAGAGAAAGAAAAAATTTGTTTCAAATCGTTGTCACGTAGTCAACTATATAACGATCAAACTCAACTGCCGGGCGCTTCCAGAGCCGCCTCAGAGCAGGCGATGAGCAGGTTTGAGCCGGAGGAGCTCGCAGAGAGCTGCGTGTCCGCAGGACAGAGCCCGCCAAGGCAGGTGCTGAGAAGTTAATTAGCGCTGCTCCGCGCCTGGTGATATCGTCTCTAAAGCGGACATTTTAGCTCTATCGCGGCTCTACGTCGGTCCATATAGGCCGACATAGGTTCCCATTCACATTTCAACCACCACCAGTTCATGATCGGGATGAATGGTCGATTAAAGCTTCAACATTTAGCTCGCTATTGTTGCTGCTAACGGTAATTGTGATCACTGATGAGCATCCCCACTTCTTGGCTAAGCAGATGATCCTCTGTGCATGGGTTGATGAGTCTCGAG